TGAACTAAGCAACTGCACTGAAGATGGTAATCTGTAATAGTAGTTTTATGTTTGGAGTTCCTGTCATTCTGGTCTTCTGAATACAGGCTGCTTGTCATGACATGCCAGTTGCTGCTGTGCTGTCTCTTGGGTAGATGACTGACCATCTCTCCTTTGGGCCTGCAACACCCTGGGGCTTTCAACACAGCATTTAAATATGCCTGACACACTCACACACATTCTCTCTCTCTCTCTCTCTCTCTCTCTCTCTCTCTCTCTCTCTCTCTCTCTCTCTTTCTCTCTCTCTCTCTGTGTGTGTGTCTGTGTCTGTCTGTCTCTCTCCAGAGGTAGAGGTCTCACTATGCATTTCAGGCTGGACTTAAACTCACTATGTACACTAGCCTGGACTCAAACTTGCAGCAGTACCTCTGCCTGAGCCTCCTGACTGCTGGGATTACATGTGTGTGCCATCTTGCCTGGCCTCATCTCTCATTTTTAATGTCTCTCCCAGATCTACCTCCACCTGAGGTACTCACCTTACTCCTTTATTTTAGCTTGCATCTCTCTGGAAACACACCCCATGTAATCTTCATGCTCCTGTTGTCATCAAAGTAGGCCTAACTCTTTACTCTCAGGGCCATGCTCACCACATTGGTTCAAACTCTGAGCAAGACTTCAGCAGAAGCATCCTACCTATCAACAGGCCCCTTTCCAACCACTCATTAAAATGCCATTTAAAGATCTTCCTGAGACATAAGTATGACTCCATCACCTCCTCTGGAAGATGCTTCAAATAACCCACATCCTTCAGCAAGACACAGTGAGCTTCTCAAGATCAGAATGGCCTCTCTTGACTGCTGTTTATTTCTCTAGTTTCACTTAAGGTCACTGCCGCCTTTTGTGTTATGACCCATGCAAAATTACTCTACCATGTGCCATGATCTCTTGCCGCCTGTGTCTCTATACATAGGCTTCCAGGGCCTGGGAAGTAATGCTTGACTTCATCCGCCTGCTTCCCAGAATTCCTCAGGACCCCACTTAGATGGCTCCTCCTCAAGAAGGTCCTCCCTCCCACCCTTCCCCCTCCTCCAACTTAAGGATAAAGATACTCAAGAGACTCTCTCATATATTCCTTTAAGCAAGAAATGTCTGAACTGCAGTTACATTGTGCAGTTCTCTGCCTCCCCTATCACTATGCTAGCTAAGGGCTGTAATTCATTCACCTTATCCCCAATGTACAAGCCCAGCAGCCAACGCTTAAATGTCTGTTGAAAGGTAACACCTGCGTTAGAATAGTCACAATTACAGAGATAAAAGAATGGTAGCTGCAAAGATTGGAGAGAAGAGGGAAACGGAGTCATTGTTTAATTGGTAGACAGTCTTAGTTTTACATTATGAAGATAGTTCTGAATGTGAATGATAGTGCTAGAGGTAAATATTAAGAATGTATTTAATTTCATTGAACTACACACTTAAAATATGAAGATTAGAAATTTTATGTGTATTTACCACATATAAAAATGTTTTTTTTAAATGTTTGAAAATGAACATCTAGTATTTATATAAGAAAATTTCTTGCACTGTACTTGTTTTGCATAAACAAACATTGCCCTCTTGTGGTCAAAAGTATATTATCCAATCAAGAATATGTGTGAACACAATGCTGGAGGTTACTACTCCAGCTCTACCCGGTTGGACATTCGTAAAAATGGAGAAATCACTTATCTCAACTCAGCCTCAAACACAGTAATATTCAAGCAGTTAGCAATACTGACTTAAGAAAGAACCTAACATAGAAGTTATACTTTCAGTAAACGTGTAACCTTAATCAAATAAATATAAAACCATCATCTAGATTTCTTCCAAATGGTGAGATCATTTTGAACTAGTAATATTTTCAGTTATTTTGTTTAAAGCTGCCCTAAATAAATAGATAAATAAACAAAGCTGCCCTCCACAAAAACTTTCCTGAAGCTAAATGGCTTTGAAAGACTTACCAATGTCATAGGCCATGAAATCTGAAGAGAAACACTTGGCACCATGGCTCATAGATGTGTCGTTGTGTGTATTTCCTCCAAACACCAGCATGGTTCCACTCACTATCACAGCTGTGTGCAAGTAACGGAAAAATCGGCTGTCCTTAAGAATGGTCCTTTTGAGTTTATTTAAAAATAATAAATATAAGGTTAGTTTTTAAAGAATATTTCTCTATCTGCTAATGCAAACATAGCCCTATTTTATTAACTTCAGACTTAAGTCTGCTTCCATACTGCTCTGATATATATAATTTTCTTAACAAATATGAAAGAAGATCTGTGAGAATTCTGGCAAAATATATTAAAAGCTTTACAATGTTCACACCCTAAGGCACTATAATTATAATTTCTGAGTGGAAATTGTGAAATGTAGAAAGAAGATTCTTTACAATGACTTAACAAAAAGACAAAAGCTAGAAATCAAAATCACTAACTACATCAGCTGAGTATCCTCATGTAATGGAATATTAGCCACAAAAATAATTTTTTTATGACAACATGTAAAAACATGTCCATGACATGGTCTTAAATATATGAGGAAATATAAAAAGGAATAGAAACTATTGGCTTAGGGCTGGGGAGACAGCTCGGCGTTCTAAGTGCATGCCTGGCAAGTGCAAGGACCCAGGTTTGATCCCTAGTACCACATGCTATGCCAGCCCCAGAGCTCCGGACACACTATGCCAGCCACCAAAACTGGGGGGCGTGGTGACACACATCTGTCAAAACTGGGGGGCGTGGTGACACACACCTGTAATCCTAGCATTTACAGGGAAGGCTGAGACAGGTGGATCACTATGAGTCCAAGATGCATAGCAAGACCCTGTATCAAATAAATAATTCTTTTTTTTTGGGGGGGTGACTCAGGCTGCTTTAAGGGTAGGTCTGGTGGAGCATGTGGTTCTGGGGATTGAACCATGGTCCTTTGCCCCTGACTGAGTCTGTCCAAGCAGGCACTTTACAGAACTGAGCTAACCTGCAAGCACCCCCCACAAAATAAATGAAAAAAAATTTAAAGAAATTATTGGCTTATAATTATATTATTTCATAATTCAAATTTTCTTTACATTTGTTAATATCAGCATACTTTCAGAGGCATATCCACAGTTCAGAGTGAGGAAAGCTCTACCAATTAGTTATAAAGACATCTTGTTTATTAATTTTATGGGAGGACACCAGTAACTGATGCTAAAAAGCTACAGTTTGCTATCAAGACAAGCTTAAATATTGCATATCTCTTGATGAGAGATGTAAGTCAATGGTAGGGTACTTGCCTAGCATGTGCAAGTGTCTGGGTTTGATGCCCAGAACTATTATCAAAAAAGCAAACAAAACCTTTTAATTAATTACAAAAGTGTGTACAAACTCAGTTATTTACTTTATTCTTTAAGATACTAAAAGGGGCCTGGCCCTAGCTCAGGCCTTTACGTGGCTGCTTCCACAAAGCTGTCAGCCTCAGGTTGCTGGAGTTCGAACCTCACAACTCTCCCGCTGGCCAAAAGTGCACTGAAGGCATTCGAGGAACAAAAAAAAAAAAAAAAAAAAAAAGATACTAAAGCATTTTCTAATCATCCCCCTATAGAATTATAGAGAAATATAAAAATATAAATACTGACTCCTTTCTTGCCTTATGTTTGTTTCCTAATTTCTTTTTGTACAATGCCAAGAGATATTCTACCAAGTCTAAAAGCAAAAATATAGCACATTTTCCCACCAACTACCTTTTCTGAATTCACATCTTAAAGTAAAAAGCCCATGAAAAACCACCTACCACATCTGAGTATCTACACTATATCTGTAGAGGTCATCAGTGAGCCGGTATTTATTTGCACTGAAAGCCTTGTAGCCACCGTGAACATATAGGGCTTTGGTCTTGTGATCATAAACACTGCTGTGGCCATAGCCCCCTTGCACAAGGGCACCTTGCGTATTTAATATATTCCAAGTGTTCTTATCTGAAAAGAGAAAAACCAGTTAAAGGTAAACATTGCAATCACCTCTTCTCTACTACTTAAAATATAAGCAATTTAGGATAACAGAAGGGATTGTCTGATTACACTTGGCAGGCAGGCACTTATGCTGCTGAGCCATATCCCTAGCCCTTCATCTATTTTAAAAAAGCCATCTAAAACTTATATCAAATCCATGTGGCCAAACTTCAGTTAAATGTTTTGTATGCTACACAGAAAAAGAATGTCACTAAAATGTAATCAACCCTACAAATGAACATTTAATTTCCTATGACCTTAGTCATCAATACCTTCATAGGCCTACTTTCACAAGACATCAATTATACCTGACACTCTAAATGAGTAACAACAGATACAATAAAATCTGACCAAAGAGGGAAATACACAACACATGCACACACACACACACACACACATACACACTAATCTCTAAAGAGCTATTCAAATTTTTCTGAGTATTTGTTGTTTTTTATTTTAACACACACCCCAAAAAATTTAGTACTACTTTTGACTTCTTCCAAGTCAACAGTAGCAAACACATTATTACATAGGGGCATCAATAAGCTGAATTTCACTGGTAACACATATGATTGTTAAATGGGTTTCAAGAAAAACAACTGGATCAAGTTAGGTTGAATTTCATTAAACCATCCTCATCATGAATTTAGGTTTTAAATGTGATGTTCAAAACATATCCACTGGGAAAAAATATACCTACCCAAGTCATACTCCTGTACATTGCTTACATAGCCATAGAGAGGACAGTGACCAAAAATGACCAGCATGACCACTCGGCCAGTTTTCAGTGTAACGACGTGTGCTGAGTGCCCAACCACTGCATACTGCTCCTTTGCCTTTGGGGTCAACAACACCCACGACTCATTATGAATATGAAACACTCTTAACTCATTGGTCACATTCCCTGTTGAATCAATTTTTCCTCCATACATATAAATTTTATCCTGGGGGGAAAATGTAAATAAGATTTTTTAAAATATTAAAAATTAAAATTTGAGTATAAAAAATGATCAGTTCAAAATCTCAACATTAAGTTTAAAATTACTGATGAAATGTACCTTTCAGGAATTATTAGGAAAAGGATAGAGAAAGGAACAAAGTAAAACAAATATTCTATTTCTCTAAAACTTTGCCACTTTTCTTAGACTTCCTCAAATGAGATCTTTTACAGAATAAAATGACTTAGAAAAATAAAGCTGCCCCATTCTACCATACACCTACAAAAACAAGGAAATGAAAATGATTATTCAGTCACATTACAATCTGGTTATTCTTGTCTAAACTTTGCTAATGGGCATAAAGGTTAATCTACGTGCTAATCTACATTTTTAAACATTCAGAGCATAGTCAGGGTTAAAGAAAAACCCTGCAACTTCAGTTTCTACTTACAATTTACCCAATTACTTAACCTCTACCATTTTTTTCCAATTAGAGGCCAATATTGACTACCTTTTCTACTATACAATACATAATCGCACTAAGGAGGAGCTGAGGTTATTGTTTAATACAAACATTATATAATACCTTACCTTATATAAGGCTAAAGAATGACCATATCTCACAACCACATTGTTCACAGAACGGTTCAGTGGAAGCCATTCCTTAGAAACAAGGTCATACCTACAAAGAAAACAGACAAGTATTTTTATCCAAAAGGCAAATCAGAACATTCTGTATCCTCTTATTTGTGACATAAGCCAGTTTGCAGATGCTCATTAAATCTACTATACATACAGGAGGAACCTGTCACACTGACAAACACCTAAAACCTGGCCCACTGGGCATAAAAGAACTCAGGAAGGGGAGCTGAACTACACAACCCTGAAATTTAAAAAAAAAAAAAAAAATGAAGTTTCTAACACCTGAAAACACCTCACACATGCAGTCTAAATCACCTAAATGTTGCATACACAGTACCAACAAGACTTAAGTTACTTACAGTAATTTTTTCCTCAATCAAAAGGAGAAATTGGGCCGGGGAGATGGCTCAGTGGAATAAGCGCTTCCCTGGTAAGCGCAAGGGCCTAAGTTCAATCCCCGGTTCCACCAAAAAAAAA